GGGTTTGCTCCATTCATTGACCTCGTCATTGCTTTAAGTAGCGGATTGATTTCCTCCCATTCTTCCTTCTGCTAATTAATTGATTAGGTCATTAATTAGTTAAACATATTTATTGAGCACGCACTATCCCCCAGGCTCTATCTAGGCGCTGGGCTCGGTCACGAATGTGACGAGCTGGGGTTTCAGCAGGAAACAGAATCCAGCCGGAAGGTGGGCACGAGGGGAGGCCTTCGGGGGAAAGGCAAGGCGGCCAGGTCCCGTGGCTGTGGCAGGAGGCAGAAAGGAGAGCTGGCCCCCCGGGGCGGCAGCCACGGGGGGGGGTGCTGTCTGCAGGGAGCCAGCCGTGGGGGGCTGCTGGGTTCGAGCGAGGAGGTGGCCGGACAGAGCACCCCCGCCTCCTCCTCATCCCCCACCTCCTGCTGGGCCCAGGGAGGCTGGCGGTCATTTGCAGGGGACTTGGGCAATGCCCACCTCTCGGGCCCAGCCTACCCGGGCACTCACAGGGCACAGAAAGTGGGGGCCGGAGCCAGGGCAGGAGGGTGGCCGCAGGGACCAAGGCCGCGCCCAGGCACAGGTGAGACAGGTGAGCACAACCTGGGACGAGCGCACAGGCGGTGGGGGGTGGGGGGCGGTTCATTAAGGGGGTGAGAAGAGGAGAAGGAAAAGGAGGAAAGGAGAGGGAGAAGGGGGGACGGGGAGGGGAGGGAGGGGGCGCTGAGTGTTGGAGAACTTAGAAGACAAGGAAGGAGGGGAGCGGGAGGGGACGCGGGGACAAGAGCCGGCGGAACTAGGGGTGGAGGAGGAGGGGCAGAGAGAGGAAAGGAAGGAGGGGAGGGAGGAAGGGAGGCGCGGGGGCCTCGGACGTCAGCTGTCGGGGGACAGTGTCCCCGGAAGCTCTGAGGTGAACAAGAGCAAGGCCACTGTCCAGTGGTTTGGGTGCGTCTCCGGGAGGGAGCAGCAAGGCCAGAGGCCCTGGGAGCAGGAGGGGGTGCTCGGGGGGCCGGGGAGGCTGGGCTGCACCTATCTGGGGGCTCTGGGACTGCGGCCACACAGCTGTCACGGCAGAGCCACGCTCCTCTCGTGGGCGAGCAGGGGGAGGCTGAACGGGCTGAGGGCTTAGCGTCTAGGAAAGCGGGGTGCAGGGAGGCTGCCCCCGGCCTGGCTTTGCTGTGGGGAGTCATGGGCAGGCCCGGCTGGCTGGGGAGCAGGTGGCCAGGGGCGAGCAGGGCTGGTCAGAGCCTGCTCTGGACAGGCGCTAGGGCAGGGGAGGACTGCGGTGTGTGAGAACCTGGCGGAGTCTAGGCTTGGGGACCTCTGAGAGGAGGGGTGCAGGCAGGGCTATCGGAAGTCCAGTTTGGGACCGCTGCGTTTGAGGAGCTCTCAGCCTGCTGAGGGCGAGACTGGCCTGGAGGCTGGCGGGGAGGCCACCACCCCCTCTGTCTGTGAGGGACGGACTCGTGGTCAGCAGCTCCTGTGCTTTTACGGCCAGGGAGGAGCCCGGATGGAGAGGGCCTGGGGAGCACTTTGGGCCGAGTCCCGGGCTGCACCCCCGTGGGGGTCTGGAGCAGCGACGGAGACGAAGAAATGACCCACGAGGCTGAGGAAAAGGCAGGGCAGGGTGTTGGCTGGAAGACAGATTTACCTGTCCAGATTTTCTGGTGATGGATACTTTATTCAAACTGACACAGAAACCACACACCCTTCTCTATGTAGCTTTGATTCTGACCTGAGGTTCTTCCCCTGTCTCACAAATCAGAACTCCGTCCCTTTTCAGGGGCGAGTAGTATTCCACCGTGTGGGCAGACCACGCTTGTTCCTGGGCTCCCTGGTAGAAACCTCGGGCTTACCCCCCTCTGCAGTCCCCTCTGCACCTGGCACTGGCTCGCACCGTGCGTAATCCATACGCATTTGAAATAGAATGAATAAAGAGCAAAAACAATGACCAATAAAGACAGTCCCTGACAACAACAGCACCAGCAAATTCCACTGGGTCTTGCTGCAGTTCAGGGGGTCCCAGGACAGCTGCTGCTGGGTCTGCACCCCGTGACCCTGAGGCGCGCCCTGTCTCACCCTGGCTTTGCAGAGGGGACCGGTCCCTGCCTGGGAAAGCCACTCCTCGCGGCAAAACCCATCTGCCGGCCAGCAGTGCCCTGATCCCGGCGTCGGGCCGCGCCACGAGGCCGCCAGCGGGGCTCTGAGAGAGGCCAGGTGGCAGGGGGCGAGCGCCAGGGGGACGGCTGGGGGGCCGGGGAGCCCCACCGCAGAGGCGGCTGTCCCGGGGGTGCATTTTCTCAAGCCCAGTGAACCCGCCCGCACACCAAAATGTCGTCTTCCTAGTGTCTCTGGCCGGTTTGTACAGACACCTGGGGTGGGGGGCACCCCGTCAGGCGCTTCCTCCCTGCCCTCAGGCCACCCCTTTGCCAGCACGAATGCACTGGGAACAGGGATCAGCCACGACAGGTCGCCCCGCTGCTCTGAGTCGGAGCAGGGCGCGGAGGGCTTCCGGGACAGCCGTCTCCCGGCTCCGGGCGCCTGCCCGCGCGGCTCGGGGCCCCGTCCCATGGCGGGGTCCCCTGCGTACCCTTCCTGTGTTTCACCCCAGAACCACGCTCTTGTCTCTCTGTGCGCGGAGGCTTTGCTGCCGAGCGGGGTCCTTGCCCGGGGCCAGCCTCGCTCTCAGATCACGCTCACGTCTCCGCCTCTCAGCCCCCCGCTGTCCGGCCCCAGGGGAGAGTGGCGCTGCCACGTGGGCATCAGGAGAGAGGTCAGAGGATGGGTCACAGCAGCCTGGCCTGCACATGGGCCTCGCGCATCGTGCCAAGCACAGGGCGCTTGACACCCCTGTCGTGCCATTTGGCCTCTCCGTCAGGCAGGTGGGTCCTGGACTGACGTGGCCACGCGGTCCTTTGGTGAGGTCTGCACCCCGGGACGTCCGCCCCTCGGCTGGGGGCGCTTCCCCGGGACACCTGTGCCTCGGCTGGGGGCCAGCACGGGTGGCCTCACCGGGGCGTGTTTGCAGGCGGCCGAGCCAGGTGGCCGTTAGCTCCCAGCAATTTCAACCCCGACCATCAGGAAGAGCGTCCAGCGACATGACCTTCGTCGGCGACCTCAGCCGGCCCTGACGTCCTGGCTGGACCCCGGGCTGGCTCACAGGGTGGACAGGGCACACGGGCGGCATCTCCGGACATGGCGCGGAGGAGCCGGGGCGCCCCAGGCCCCCTTGTTTCTCAGCCCACACGGCACGTGCCCTTGACGGTGTCATTGCCAGGAGCAGCAGCAGTGGCGTGAGAGAGGGGACTGTCTCCCTAGGGCCCCAGACACCGCGTAGGCGGGGGCCCGCCAGGTCGCCGGCTGCAGGTCCTGGACCCCGCCGTGCCGAGGCTATCTCCAGAGCTGCGGGGTGGCGGCAGGTGGCACTCAGGTCAGGCTGGCACCGCGGCACAGCGGCCGGCCGGCCTCGTGAGAACAGGTGAGCTGCACCAGCGGGCACCAGCGGGCGGCAGCGGGCAGCAGGTTGAGCAGATCTCGGACGCCCACGGGCATGTCCACCCCGGACAGAGCTCTTGGCTCCTCCCACCCCAAGGCCGCTGCTTCCGCGTCTCCAGCCCAGGGTGGTCAGACCCCAGGGACTGCAAGCCTGTCCCGGCCCTGCCCACCCAGCACCCTCGTTGCCGACGAGAGGGTGCTGACCAGCCTGGACGGGTGAGGCAACCCCGCAGCTGTAGATCGCAGGCGAGACCCGACTGAGGCTGTGTCAGGCCCCCTCGGCCGGCCCTGTCCACTCTGCTCATGTCCTTCAAATCCTGCCTCTCGCAATGGCCGTCTGCATCCAAGTGGCCAGACTCCAGGGGACGTGCAGGGCCCTCTGTGAGGGGCGCCCCCTGGACTTGCGGGACGGCCATCGGCCACTGTCCCCGCCCTTCCGTCTTGCCCATCTGGCCCGCTCCCCTCTCTCCCCCTCATTTGTCTTAGGGTGCGGCCTCTGGCCAGACTCTGGACACAGAGGGGTCAGCTGCGCCCCCCGTGTGAGGACAGGATGTGGTGCCCACACCTGTGTGGACGCTCAGACGTGCATGTGGCCGTGCTGTGTGGCTATCAGTGCGACGTGGGCACGGAGGTGCAGGTGAGGTTGGACAGACAGACGTACAGGCAGATGGCCGCAGACACGACTGCAGGCGTGACTGCCCGTGAGCCGACGTGGACACAGACTGACGGACATGGATGAGCAGCTCTGGGGAGCGCCGGCAGGGCGAGGGCAGTCCTGGCCTGCAGTGTCCACCTCATGCTCTGAGGCCACATCTCTCCCTCTGCAGGGGCCCCTTGCTCTTTAGCCTCCAATGGCGGTGGGGGGGGGCGAGGCCACCAGCCTGTGGGGGTCACCGGGCTGACTGTCCAGCGCATGGAGAAACACCAGCGGCATTAGCCGCTCTCGAGCGAGGTGCTGGGCGCCGTGGCCTCGCCCAGTGGACGCACCACACTCGGTGAGGCCACAGTCCGGGGAGGACACGGGCCAGCGGGAGGGCAGTCAGCTGTGTGGCGTGGCTGCCACTAGGCTGACGGGCCCAGAGGACCGTCGCTCGGGTCCTCCAGGATAGCAGAGGAGGTGAACCTTGACGGGGAAACAGAAACGGGGACCCCGCTGCAGACCAAGGCAGCTCCAGGAGCTGGAGAGAGGCAGAGGAGCCCCGGGCCTGGGCTGGGGTGTCCATGGCGTGTCCTGATGTGGGAACGCACCCCACATCCCACCCAAGCCCTAGGGCAGCTCCCCCGGGGTGCCAGGGCCCTTCGAGGGGTCTGTGCGTGTTCCAGAATGACGGGGTTAAGCCGTCAAGTGCTTGGCGCGCTTGACATCCTCAGGGCTTCATCTTAAAAACCTTTCAACTCGTCCTCACAGCGACCTTCCCAGGCCATCCCGCCCGTCCTGGCCACCGGCCGTGACGGCAAGTCATGATGGCGCCTTCTTCTTTCCTCTTTCTCAGGGACAAAAGCACCGAGCCCCACGCCCGACGCCCCAACCATGAAGCTCAGCGAAAAGGGCCCGGCGGGTCACAGGGAAAGCGAGGCGGCCAGGACGAGACCGGTCAGTCCCAGCTTCCTGCCCGGGCTGGCGGCCCGGGGCGGCCTCCCCTTCTCGTCCTCCCCCGGGGGAGAGGGGTGGGGGCAGGCAGCCTGGGGGGCGCTGAGCAAAGCAGAAGCGGCCAGGCCAGAAGGCGCCCCGGGGACCGTCTGTGCAACGTGAGGGGCGTGGTGCTGGTTGACCTTCTGGACCTGGGGAGCCCCGCATTGCAAAGGTCGTTTCTCTCGAGGGGATGGTGACACTGAAGATGATGATGTCGCTGTCCTTAGGGATGCACAGCAACCCCAAGGCCCAGTTCCCTCGCCCCCTCCTCCGGGAAGCCCTCGGCACTCAGACGGTCTCTCTCCTGCCCAAGACTCCTCGGACCCGCTCTTCACTGTGCTCACTTAGCTCGCAGCCCACATCCCGTTCACTCAGACCGCAGCCCATCGGGCCAATGACCCCTCACTGGAAATTCTAGTCTAGGTCACAGACGCCTCGGCAAGTCTGGAAGCAGGTGGACAGGGCAGCCAGGGTCAGATTTTCAAATCCCGCTTCCTCCAGATACCGCGACCCTCCCGCAGCCACGGGCCTCCACCGGCACGCACCGACCCTTCCTGCAATTCAGACGAAAAGCCCGATTTCGATGTTCAGAATGTGTCTGACAAACGGAACACTTTCTAAACTACAGAAAGCTGCTCAGATACCCTCTGGGTCACGGGGCTGTGCTTTGCTGTCGGCGACACTATTTCCTGACGGTAGCAGTTGTTTTTATTGCGTAACAGTGAATTATAGCATCATGCGGGGTGCAGGCTCCGGCCCCCAGGCAGCGCCCCGACCCCCGCCGTCCCGCGCTCCCCCGGGAAGCCTCCGTCCTGCAGTCAGGCCTCCAGGGCGTGCCTGGTGCCTGCTGTCCCTCCTTGGCTTTCTGTCTCTGGAGCTGGGCTCTGTAAAGCACATCGCTGTATCTTTACATCAGATTGCGAGACCAGTACCCGCCCATGCCCGCTCAGTGCCCGACCTTTGCACGGCGCCTTGGCTTCGCACAGCTCGGGGCGTGCACAGGAGCAGGTTTGGCGGGCAGGGCCCTGATGCTCTGCGCCGCAGGGGCCTGAGCGCCGGGGCTCGGCTGGGGACACCCTGCCCGTTGCCCCGCCACCATCAGTCCCCACCCGGGCCGGGCGATTTTGGCTCCCACACCGCCCAGGTGACGGGGCTGCAGGCCCTGGCTCAGCGCCCACCAGGCGGGCACACCCCTCCTTCACAGTCGGATCACCTCCTACAGGTAGCCTTCCAGGATACCGCCCAGGTAGCCCGCCCGCCTCCTGCCTCCACGCTCTCTGCTCTTTCAGGGAAACTCAGCCTTCACAAAGTAACCAGACCTTCTGTTACAGGGCAGGGAGAGGGGCACCCCTGAACCCCCAAACCTGCCTGCTCTAAATAGGTTCTGCTACCCACCGCATCAAGACAAAGCATATAAGACGTTAATGAAATGGGACTTTAATACAGTGAATATACAATACAGAAGACAAAGAATGTAATTTCTAAGTCAAACACCTGAAGTGTCCCATCCTCTCGTGGGCAAAAGTCCACCCAACAGGGAGGGGCCCAGAGCCAGGCCCGAAAGCCACCACGAGACTGAAGCACCTTCTGGCCGGGACCCATGGGGAAGGGCCAGGCAAGCCTGGGAGGAAAAGAGCAACATCAAAGCCACTATGATCACTGCCAGTCTCCCCCACGGGCCTCTCACCCACGTCTCTTCCACCAGTCCTGGGCCAGGACACAAGCGTGGTGTGGTCATCCATGAGCGCTGCTCCGAGTGGCGTCCTCGGTCTCCCGCTGGCCTCCATCCTGCCTCCTTCTTCCTCAGATTCCTTCCCTTCTCTCCTTTTCTCTGCTCAGCTCCACCCTCCCTCTGGGGGGCAGGGAACCTGGAACTCCCCCATTTCCTGGGGGCCCCCCTGTTACACCTCCACTTTCCAGTCCCGCCCGGGTCACTGCTCTGTAAGGGGGAGCCGGCCGGCAGGCTGGGAACCAGCTCCAGAAACAGCCAGTCCTCAGAGGGCCACCCTGCAGGGCTGACGCGCGCAGGAGCCCGGGCAGCGGGTCCCGGGCGGGCCACCAGCAGGGCTTCTCCCAGGGGAAGCCAGAACCCCCCCCACCCCGCGCCCAGACATTTTCCACGTGCACTGACCTTTCCCGCGCGGCACCTCGGCGGGGCTCCGAGTCTTTGACCCCAGTTTGTGCTCGTCGCGGGCGTCCACTGGGAACTCGCCCTGGCCGGCTAGGGGTCCGGCCTTCCGCCAATGCACCTTGCCGGCCTGGTCTCTGGAGCAGAGACAGCCACGTGGCCGAGGCCACCTGTCGGGCAGGCCGTCTGGGACCACGTGGCCAAGACTTCTCAAGGCGCCTGCTGCACTCCAGGGCCCATCCTTAAGGCCCCCGTCCCGGCCAGCTGGTGCAGGACAGTGCAGGGTGCAGGTGGCCTCCCCTGGCCCGGGGCCTCAGGCTGTGCTGGGAGTGCTTGTCTCTCTGAGGCTCCCAGGCCCTTGTGGGGACAGGCTCCAGCTGCCTTTTGCACTTGCAAAGGATTAGCTGACAGTCCAGCCACTGCCTGGGGACACAGCGGAAACAGGCCTGCCCCTGCCGACCTTTGCCCTCCCTCCGCCTGGCCCGTGGGTCCCCTCCCTGGGGGGGAGGGGGCTCAGGCGGGAACATGAAAAGAGCAAAGGAGGACTCCACACTGCCGGGTGGTTTCCCTTCAGGACTCCCGGTCCCGCTCTGACTTGAAAACGAGGGAACCGTCCCGCTTCCTGTTCAGACAGGCTGAAGTTGCCACATTTCCTGCCGGGCGCCCCCGCCCTCCTGCACGGACTCTGTCTCCTCAGGGCCAGGACCTGGCAGGGCCGGGTCCAGGGTCGCTGCGGCCCAGCCACCTGCAGGCGCACGCGGACATGGGCTCCCCGGAACCGAGCTTGGCTCCCCTGGCCCCGGGCCCGCGCTGCCAGGGGCCTGCGGACAGCGTCCCTCCCGGGAGCCCGCCCACCCGAGGGAGCAGGAGGAAGGTAAACCAGAGCCGGGCCTCTGGCCCCAGGCTGCCGGCCAGGAGGGGAGCCGCACCCACAGCCTCAGGCCGGGGGCCCTGAAGTCAGAGGCGCGCCCCGGGGCCTGGCCTGGGTCCCGACTGGCCGCCGGCTCACTAGTCTGGGTCTCCTGCAGCATCTGTGGCTAAGTGCTCTCTGTCTGTCTGTCTCTCTCTCTCACACACAGTGAGGCCCAGCAGGGAGCAGCCTCACACTAGCTGGGCAGAGGCCGCCCCCCAACAGCCCCCCTGCCCTGGGGCCATGCAGGGTGGGGGACTCCCCGGGAGAGGGCGACCCTGCTCTTCTCCACCCTCTGACAGGCACAGACGGGGGAAATGAATGGGCCTGGCAGAGAGGGTGGCCCGAGGCCCAGAGTGTGGCAGGCACAGCCAGGGAAGGCGGGGTGCCAGGTGGGGTGACCCGACACCCCCAGGAGCAGGTCCAAGGCAAAGGGCGATGGAGAGGGGCCCGTTCTGTCCACCACGGGATCCTGTTCCATCCCCGCCCAGAGGAGTCCGAGCTCCTTTGCCGCAGAGAATATTGCTGCCCACCCCGGGGATGGCACAGGCGCCCGCCCCGCGTGAAGTCCTACGAGGCGGCGCTGTTCACAGCCCACTTCACGCCCGCGGCGCTCCTCCGGGCCGGGCAGGGAGCTGCGTACACGCGCCCACCCTCCGGGCCCACGCAGCGCCCACCCTGCAGCTGGGCAAGCTGACCCCAGAAGGTGAAGACTGTCTGGGGGTTCAAGCCACACAGCGGGGCGCCGTCGGGCCCTGGAACCCCTGCTGCGGGCAGCTAGTGGGGTGGGCGGCAGCGAGCTGGCCACGGGGTCCTGCTGCCCGGCTGTTTGCTCAGGTCAGTTCTCGGCGCTGCAGGCCCTGCCAGTCCCCCGGACCCCGGCGCCCCTAGGGAAGTCAGGGCCTGGCGCCTGGAACACACCCCCCACGCCCATGACAGGCTCCTCCTAGGAGCTTGGGGCCCCGGGGGCTGGCTCTCGCTGGGCCCTCCCATGGCTCTGCCTCCGGCCCTGCAGCTGGGCAGCCTCTGCTAAGCCGTCCAGAAGCTTCTGCCCTTGTCCAGCCATGGTGGTGGCTTCCTTGGACGTGGCACGGGACAGCGGCTGTCAGCTGATCTGCTCTGCTCCTGCTCTCCCGTGGGCCTGCCACCCTCCAGTTTCAGCCGGCGCTGGCCAGCTGCTCACGGAGCACCTGCACCGGACCTTAGGCCCGGGTTCCATGGTCTCCACCCAGCCAGGAGAGGTGGCCAGTGGTGTGGCTGCCCCAGTGGCAAACCGAGTGGCCACGCCATTGCCCGCCTCCTGCGATTCTCGGGGCCCCCAGCTCCGGGGATGGAGGTCCCGGGGTGTCGGCTGGGCCCGGCCCTGTGCCCCTGGGCCAGATGGACAGGCTCTGCTCTCCCCCTACAGGACTGGTCCTGCTCCCTCCTCGTGGCGGCTTTCGTGGGCGCCTTCGGCTCCTCCTTCCTCTATGGCTACAACCTCTCCGTGGTCAACGCTCCGGCGCCGGTGAGTGTCCACGCTGCGCGGTGAGCCCAGCAGGGGGCGCTGTGGCGCCGTGGACAGCAGGTGTTAGCATTCGGCTCTGGGTGGTGGGGGGGCCCTGGGCCTGACTGCTGCTGGACACTGGGGAGACAGGCAGGGCGTGGGACGCAGCAGGCGGTGATGGGCAGGCGGGCTGTGGGTTCCTTGTGGCCTCTGATGGAGACTTGTCACGCTGCTGGCCTTGATTCCTTTACACCCAGCGGCTCTGTGTCAGACAGTTTGAGGCACCCGGCTGGCTGGCGAGTCCTGCCCCCGCCCGGCCTGGATTGGGTGCTGGCGCCTTCCCCAGAGAGGGCTGTCTGATCTGTCCACCTCGTCTTTAGAGCAGGACTGGGAGTTTGCACTCCTACTTCATCCTGAAAGTTCAGCAGAAACTCTAGCAGCAAGTGGGGTGAGGACCTTTGCCCTCTGGCCTACGGGGCAAGAGACATGGAAAACCAGAGCCAGACTGTTGCTGGAGCGAAACAGGAGCCCAGGCAAAGCCTCTGGGAGTCCTGCTTCAAACGCGGGACAGTTCCCCGGCTGCAAAATTTCTGAGCGAGCGATGAAATGAAGTCACAGAGCGCCCGGCACCCGGGGCCCGGTGCGGGCTTGCGGACGCCGGGCCGGGCAGCGGGGTGACACCCTGTTGTTTGTCTGCAGTACATCAAGGCCTTTTACAACGAATCGTGGGCACGAAGGCACGGGCACCCCATAGACCCCGACACGCTGACGCTGCTCTGGTCGGTGACCGTGTCCATATTCGCCATCGGTGGGCTCGTGGGGACTTTAATGATGAAGCTGATCGGAAGAGTCCTCGGGAGGTCAGTGGGGTCCTTCTGTTTGGGGGGTCTCCTTCAGCATGTTCACTGTGTATTTGTATACTGAGGACCCTGCAAGTAGGAGAGTAGAATCCCACTTCAGTTCATCGGAAACATTTTTTAATTTTTTAAATTGAGCTAGCATTGATTTGCCACCCTCCATATGATTGAGGGGTGTGTGTGTTGCCACACCCTCCACGGAGGCACCCAGAGGCTTCCACCCTTGCGCCCCTTTCCTCTCCATGCCCACACTGGCCCTCTGGTGGTCTGCATTCTGTGTCAAATTCCTACGATTTTTTTTTCATTTTATCTGTATTTTGCTTTGATTCTTTATATTCCACAAGAGTGAAATAATCCTTTTTGTCTTTCTCTTTCTGACTTGCTTCATGTAGCATAACCCCCTCCAGTTCTAGCCATGTTGTCATGAATGGCAAGATTTCACTGTTCAGGGCTGAGTACTATTCCACGATGTATGTATGCCTTTCTTCACTCACCTGTCCTTGGGCACTTCGGTAGTTCTCATAGCTTGGCTGTTGTAGACAGTGCCACAATGGACATAGGAGTGTGTATCCCTCAAAATTAGCTCAATTCCAGTTTGAAGGGAGAAAGCTTCATGCCAGAAGGGCAAGAGGAAGAAATGGTGCAGCAGAGATCAAGGAGAAGCAGACCTGGAAGGTGGGTCTCTCCCAGAGTCTGGGGCACTTCCGCTGCTCACCACGAGGGGGTGCTATTGGCCTCCAGTGCAGCCAGGGATGCAGCTGAGCGTGGCTGTGTCCTGTGAACCTTGCACAGAACAGTCCCCACAGAACTTCTTGAATCCAAATGTTGTTAGTGCCAAGGTGAAGACTCCACAGAGCTCCTCCTCAGAGCCCCTGCCCAGTGCATGGGCAGGGACGTGGAGACCTGGCCAGCTTGGGTCTGGCTGGGCACATACAATGGAGGGGTGTGTCAGAGGGTCAAGGAAGGGAGGTGTATGGCTCCAAGCTGGGTGAACAGGGAGCACCCAGTGGGCTCTTGCCCCATCAGACGAAGGAATTGTCGCAAGAGTGGGCAGTGAGGTCTACCCAGACTCCCCTTTCGCTGAGGCTGGTAAAAACTGAGTTGTAGGTCTAACCTGTGGGTAGACTGTAAATGCTACAGTCTGGGGGTTCCACCGAAGGGCCTGGGTCCCGTGGGTCCGGTTAACGGGAAGGCAGCTCCACGCTCTCCCTGTCTCCTCTCGTCCCAGCTAGATGTCGCCGCCCCCAGTCTCCTCCTTCCCTGTTACCGTCCTTGTATCCTGTCCCTTCTCCGAGGCTGCACAGGCAAGAGTCTCCACTGCTGGGCAAGCTCAAATTCTGAATCTGGGGCCCAGGGGGCTCCTGCCCTCAGGAGCAGCATGGCACTCAGTCTCTGCCCCTTATCTTTGGCACCGAGTTCATCCCCACAGAAAAAAATGGAAACGGTGATTAAAAATCCCCGTCTCTCAAGCCAGCGAGTCAGCTTTGTGAGTTATTTGCAAATAAGGTTTCCATCCTCAGCGGGTCGGTGTGCCGGGGGTGATGCGGAAGGGCTCGCTCAGAGAGGTTCAGCCCTGTGCACACGCCTCCAGTCCGGCTGCGTGTAAGGTAACATCCCTGCAGCGCGCAAAATACCCCCTCAGCCGAGGCAAGAGCCCGGGCCTCCTCGGCCGTTTCTCTCCGCCTCTG